ACACCCGCTGCAAATCCTCACAGCACATGCAAATGAAGACACGCGCTGCAAATCCTCACAACACATGCAAATGAAGAAACGCGCTGCAAATAGCACGGACCACAACGGAAATGTTTCTAGGGGACCCAAAAAAGTGACGGACCTGGCTGGGATTTGTTGTGTGCAGTGACTATTGGTCAGTGGAGTGGTCCATGAACTGAAAGGTGAGTTTTTTTTGTTTATTTTAACACTTGAGGTATTCGGCCAATCACAACACACTGGATAGCTGGCCAATCAGAGGACACCTCACTTTTCAGACCGATGAGCTTTGTAAAAATCGACGAGTTTTAGAAAGGCGGGGCATAGAGGAGAAACAATAATGTACAGTATGTGGAAAATGTGTTTTTGAACCTTAAACCGCATAAACACATTTCATTACACCAAATACACAAAATAATGTTCTTTTTAGCAACATCATATGACCCCTTTAACGTATTTGTAATTAAGTTGGCTTGAAAAAGCCAACTTAATGAAATCCTATTTAAACTTCTTCTTCTTCATATACCAAATTTTAAAGTGTATCTCCTCCTAGACTTTTAAAGCTACAACCACCAAACTCGGGTCAGACCTTCAGACTGGTCTGACTCGGGTTGCTATATCTTTTCTAACTGATCCGGCTTACGGTTTTCATAAACCAGACTATCAAAACCACCTAAAATCCCATAGACTTTTATTGAGGGGGTGAAAACTTTTATACAATAAGACTTATGGTGTATTTAAGCTGCCTATTGCTATAGCAAAGCTTAACAACTCCCTACTGGAAAAAAACAGCTAAAGCCAGCCTAAGCTGATTGGCTGCTTTGGCTGGTCTCCCAAGCTGGTTTTAAAGTGGTTTTGACCACTTTTTCAGCAGGCCAGGCTGGTCTTAGCTGTTTTTTAGCTGTTTTTTTACTGAATCAACTGGTTTTAGCTGGATTAGCATAGAAACATGCTAACTAAATGCTATTAACTTGCTAATCATGCTAGAAACATGCTAACAAAATGCTAGTCACTTGCTAATCATGTTAACAACATGCTAGTAACATGTTAATCATGCTAGAAATATGCTAGTAACTTGTTAATCATGCTAAAAAAGGCTAAAACAATGCTAGTAACGTGCTAATCATGTTAGAAACATGTTAGCAATTTGTTAAACATGCTAGCATCTTGCTAGAAACATGCTAGCATAATTCTAGTAACATACTAATCATGCTAGAAAAATGTGAACAAAATGCTAGTAGCTTGCTATTCATGCTAACAACATGCTAGTAACTTGCTAATCATGCTAGAAACATGCTAACAAAATGCTAGTAACATGCTAGCAATTTGTTAAACATGCTAGAAACATGCTAGCATCATGCTAGTAACATGCTAATCATGCTAGAATAATGCTAGTAACATGCTAATAATGCTAGCAGCATGCTAGCAAATTGATAAACATGCTAGAAACATGCCAGCATTATGCTAGTAACATGTTAATCATGGTAGAATTAAGCTAGCAACATGCTAGTAAACTTGCTAATCATGCTAACAAAATGTTAACACCATGCTAGTAACATGCTAATCATGCTAGAGACATGCTAGCAACTTGTTAAACGTAAACAAAATGCTAGCAACTTGTTAAACATGTTAGAAACATGCTAGCTTCATGCTAGTAACGTGCTAATAATGCTAGAATCATGCTAGCAACATGATATTAACTTGTTAATCATGTTAACAAGATGCTAGTAACTTGCTAATCATGCTAACAATATACTAGTAACTTGTTAATCATGTTAGAATAATGTTAACATACTAGTAACTTGTTAATCATGCTAGAAACATGCTAGCAACTTATTAAACATGCTAGCAACATGCTAATCATGCTAGAATCATGCTAGCAACTTGCTAGTAACTTGCTAATCATGTTAACAACATGCTAGTAACTTGTTAATCATGTTAACAACATGCTAGTAAAATGCTAATCATGTTAGAAACTTGCTAATAACTTGCTAATCATGATAACACATGCTAGTTACATGCTAATCATGTTAGAAACATATGCTAGTAAACTTGCTAATCATGCTAACACCATGTTAATAACATGCTAATCATGCAAGCAACTTGTTAGTAACTTGTTCATTTTGCTAAAAAATGCTAGCAACTTGTTAAACATTGTAGAAACATGCTCATATCATGCTAGTAACATGCTAATCATGCTAACAAAATGCTATTAACTTGTTAATCATGCTAGCAATATGCTAGGAACTTGCTAATCATGCAATAATCATAATGCTAACAACATGCTAGCAACTTGCTAAACATGCTAGTAACATGCTAATCATGTTAGAATCATGCTAGTATCATGCTAATCACGCTTGCAACATGCTATTAACTTGTTAATCATGCTAACAAAATGGTAACACCATGCTAGTAACATGTTAATCATGTTAACAACATGCTAGTAACATGCTAATCATGTTAGAAACATGCTAGTAACTTGTTAACCATGCTAACAAAATGATAACATTATGGTAGTAACATGCTAATCATGCTAGCAACATGTTAGTAACTTGCATTGTTTTGTTAACATGCTAGTAACATGTTAACCATGCTAGAATCATGCTAACCACATGCTAATTATGTTAGAAACATGATAGTGAAATGCTAACCATGTTAGAAAAATGCTCGTAACATGCTAATCATGCTAGCAAAATGCTAGTAACATGCTAATCATGCTAAAAATATGTTAGCAACATGTTAGTCATTCTAGAAACAGCCTAGCAACCACCCCAGGTACCCTAGCAATAGGTTTTATACCTGTAATTTTTTTCTGATAGACTGTATTGCCTTGAAAACATTAAAACTTTAATCTTTAAAACTATTTTAACTTTCAAACTACTTCAAACTGAAAACTTTCAGACTGCAACCATTTAAAACTTTTTAAAACTTTCTAGCTAGGCTTTTTCAAGCCAACTTAAAGTTTGTCTACAAACTTTTCAATCTAGTTTAACAAATACAATTTCTCACTACCTTTTTTTAAGGAACACATTTGAGTGATGAATCCATAAACAGTTAATTGAATTTAACTATCCAAACAAAAATTATTTTGTTAAATCGGACGTACTAATGCTAAGTAGCAGACTGGAACAAAGAAAAAAAATCTGCCCACAAAATAAAATAATTCACATGCTATAATATTGGAGGTAGTGAACATTGACTCACTGACACATACAGTAAACTGCTGTTAGGAGCAGGACGCTCTGTGACCAAATTTCCTTTTATTTACTTCACACAGCTTACCAAATGGCAATTAGACAATAAGGAAGGGTCAGTAATACAGAACAAGATTACCAAACACACACACCTTATGCTGTACCAAATGCTGTACAATACCATTAATGCATACACGCACAGAAACACATGCTTTGGTTGATATATGCACTTTAATTACAATTCGATCTTGCGGCAAATACCATATTGAGTGGAAATAGTGAAACCAGGAAATTAAAATGGCGATATTTTGCAAGGAGTCAGCATACAAAAGTGGCAAAAATTGTTATGTACAAAATATGTACAATGACGCTATATCCATCCAAGTACAATATAAAAATCATACATCTCCAACATGACGAGATTTTTAAAGATGTCACCTGGCACTTTTTCAGTCGGCGCTGCTATCTTTTGCCATAATTCCTTCAAATGTCAATCACAGACACTAATATACTGTTTTTACATAAGTAAAAAAAAAAAAGTGAGGGAGTTCCAATAATGTGCATGGCTTTGTGGAAATTTATGGCAAACCGTCCACAAACACAGTCATACATATAGACTTACACGCTCACAAACACATGCACACTAACAATCAAACAAATGTGTACAAATATATAGGGCACAAGTGTAAACACATTAAAATACACTTAAATATCCAGGATTCAAAGAAGTTGAATTGCTGGCCTTAAAAACACTTGCTGTTCTTTCAAATACATTTTTCAAGGGACCAGACAGGGTCCAAAATTAACACTCGCCAAGTGCAAAATGTGCGTAAAATGGCTTGGGGGTAAATAAAGTAAATGTTTTAAACTAAATTTTACATTTGATAATCTCATCCTTACTGATGTAAATTACGTGAGCGATTAAAATCAAACTGTCTACTAAATAAGTCGCGACTTGCATGTCCTCGAACATGCAATGTATGAGAAAGACCAGAATTTTGTGATGCCATATGTGACCCTGGACCACAAAACCAGTCATAAGGGTAATTTGTCTGAAATTGAGATTTATACATACAAGCGTTCCATTGATGTATGGTTTGTTAGGATAGGACGATATTTGGGCGAGATACAACTATTTGAATATCTGAAATCTGAGGGTGCAAAAAAATCCAAATATTGAGAAAATCGCCTTTAAAGTTGTCCAAATTAAGTTCTTAGCAGTGCATATTACTAATCAAAAATGAAGTTTTGATATATTTACAGTAGGAAATGTACAAAATATATTCATGGAACTTGATCTTTACTTAATATCCTAATGATTTTTGGCATAAAATAAAAATCGATAATTTTGACCCATACAATGTATTGTTGGCTATTGCTACAAATATACCTGTGCTACTTATGACTGGTTTTGTGCTCCAGGGTCACATATTTTGTTATATTACATTTTTATGTGCAGTGCAGTTACATCTCATGAAAAAAGCTAAATAATTCAAATGGGAAAACATTTCTAAAAACAAATTCTATAAGAATAAAGGAATTTTATGAAAATAAATACAGTTTCATGACTGATTAGAAATATTTATGGCTGTTAAATATTCTCAGTTTACCCACCATTGGCAAGTGTGTTAAAATTTTGGACCTGGCCTGTCAGTTTCTTCAGCCCGTGACTGTGCCAAAATTCCCTTCCCAGTTTCAACCCTCTCAGATCTCTATAACTCAGAGGTCAAGGTTCACCAGCAGAGGTTGATTAAGATACATCAACCACAACAGACCCTCCCAACTAAGAAGTCCGGTACCTTCCCAGCGGTCAAAGTGCGGTCACACCTCCAGTTCCTGGTTCTCTGCATAGTGGAAACGATTTAGTTTTTCCCGTTCGCGGTTGCAAATGTCCAGCTTGGGCCCGTGGGCTGGTTTTAGAGCTGGAGAGGGAGGACGTGTAAGTTCGATCTCTTCACTGCAGAGCACAGTGGGCACTGAGGTGGGCACTGTTTGGGCAGGAGGCAGCAGGGCCACGCTGTGGTCGAGGTTACGGATAAGAGTGCAGAACTGCCGCTGGTTGTTGATGGCGTTGTCCTCGGGCACTGAAGAACGTAGCTGCGCTTTGGTCCGGTGGCGGCGGTGTAGGCGGGACAGCAGTAGTGCGCACACAGAGCAGCTGCCTGCCACAAGCAGGGCAAATACCCCCACCAACACCATATAAACACTGAACCCAGCTCCACCTGGGTCTGACACTGCACCTGAATAGAAAGAGAGGCAGAGAAAGATCATGCTAAAGAAGTGCTATGCACCATTTTATGCTCAATATTTATGCCCCAAACCTTGGCAGTGGGGTTCATGGCATGGATCCTTCAGGCTCAGGCACTCATTTCCAGAGTAACCCTCAGGACATGTGCACTTGTAGCCTCCTTCTGTACTATGGCATGGCACCCCCTTGGGGCAGGGGTTGGGATTACAAAGATCAAGTTCTGCCTAAAATATAAGAACTGTATTTAATTTCACTGGGTATTAAAGAATGAACACAGAGTCTTAATACTGATTAATTCAGAAACTATACACAACACAAGTCACAAATGTATTAATTAGATTTGCATTTCCATGCTATGTTAGCATTTGCAAGGCAGAAAAATGATAATGGTAATGATAAAGTTTTAGGTGTAGCTATAAATGACTAAATCGATGCAAGAATTATAATGCCCATTAATATTCAGTATGCAAATATATGCAAGAAAAGAAAAAGCACAATTGAGCATGCAAATATACAGTGCTGTACATTTAAACAATGTAAAGGTTGGAATATATACTTCATGACTTTTGCCTAGATTCTCACCCTGATTTGCAGTCTAGATTGGCTGATGCTAGTTGCGGAAAGTCAGAGGCAGTCTGCAGATTTTAGGTAGTCGGAGTTGACAGATTGCTCAAAAAATTGTGTATGATGGTCACAGGCAGATTTTTTTTAGTTTCCATGCAGTCAGAATATATTGAATATGGTTGATATTTTGAGCCAATTTTGTTTTCAGTTGTCACATCTTATAGAAATAAGGCACACGTTTCTATATGTATTCAGAACAACTTGAAAGTCTGGTAGTGTATTTAGTGTATGATGCCCAGTTTTTCTCTGTAACCATTTTCAATGTCACCAAGTGTATAATGCCTAGTGTTTGAAAATCTATTCAGACTTTTATTTTTAGTTGTGTAGTACATTCCAGTCAACAGTACCATAAAAGTCATGTAAGACTGCAAATCTGTGGGTTAAGTGAGTAGTTTTTTGTAAACCTTTGACTTTTTTTGTGGAGCACAAAAAGAAAATTTTTTACATACAAAATTTAGTTGCTCTTTTCCAAGCAATTACAATGAATCTCAAGCTTTAAAACTACAGGATGAGTAAACGATGGCAGAATTGTCTATTTTTAGGTGAACAGATTCGTATTGGTGCATCGGCCTAAAAGTTAACAATGTGATGCTTCGATTTAAATAAGTGTGCACCGGATACAAGTTGGCATTGTTTCTAACATACATGCATCGGTAAAAAACGATTTATTTATATTTCATTATTAGTAGATGCACTATACTTTTATTATTTAGAAAGTTGCCAATATTTTAGATTGATTTCTCCTCTCTAAACGGTTTCTCAAGCGCATTCTCTCATCGCTGCTGCTTTGTGAATATGACGTATCACGACACTGCGGAGTTAACCAATTCTTAATCACTCCCATCCAACCTCCAGTCTGCAAGGTAGAGCTGCGAGGATGTGCGCTAAAATCAAGCATTCTCATTCAATTTTACATTTCACTCCGGAATTCGCCAAATTACTGATGTCAGTCGCTGCTTCCAGTTCATGCGGATGTTGAAACATTTTCAGCTGAAAGAACTGCTTAAACTGGTGAAGAAAAAGCAGCAAGATCTCACCTCACAGTAGGTGCCAGTGTATCCCAGCGGGCAGCTGCAGAACATGCCTCTGCCACCCTGACGCTCCACACACTGCCCTCCATTTACACAAGGGTTGCTGTCACAGGCATTTACTGCTGTCTGGCACAGTTTACCAGAGAAACCCCGCAAACACACACACTGAGATTCCTGCACATAGCACACACAGGTTAGCTGTACTGAAGGAGAACTGCTTAAATGTCAAAGAAACTTCACATTCTGGAGGTGCAAGTAAGCTTATCGAGGTGAATCACTTCTTACCTTACAGTGTCCTCCATTCAGACACAAGCCCTGGCAGCTACTGTTCCCTGTTGAATAGATTATATTTAAAAAAAAAAATCAATAGCCAACCAAGTGGAAACCCACAAGTTTCACTGAAGAAAGAGACTAGCTAACTGCATTCATCAATAAAGTATGAATCTACAATGATTGTGTGAGCAGACCGCGGTAGGAACAAACTCACAACGAGTTCACCCTGAAGTCATTTCCCACCAGCACTGGAACAGTCATACACACACGCCAGTCTCACATTCATTAGTGTCTAAGGAAGAGGAAAGAACCACAGTGATGAAGTGAGGCTATATTTAGCACACCACCATACTACTATATCTGCAGTACATACAGGTGCATCTCAATAAATTAGAATGTTGTGGAAAAGTTCATTTATTTCAGTAATTCAACTCAAATTGTGAAACTCGTGTATTAAATAAACTCAATGCACACAGATGTGAGCCAAAATCATCACAATTAAAAGAACCAAAGACTTAAAGTACTTTAGTCTGTGTGCACTGAATTGATTTAATACACGAGTTTCACAATTTGAGTTGAATTACTGAAATAAATGAACTTTTCCACGACATTCTAATTTATTGAGATGCACCTGTAAGTACAATTGGTATTGCATGCAAATTTCATGAAATGCAATACCCAGATGACCTTCTGTTTGCCAAAACGTGCAGTATACAACAGAACATAATGAGCTGGGTACATGTATCCCACACTGCCATGCACTCAACATGACCTCCAATTTACAGTATAAGTGAAAGTAATATCAACCACAAATTTTAGCTTTTTTTTCTGAACTGACAATAGTTATTTTAAACATGTTATGTAAGATTGGATGCAAAACAACCATGTTTATTTCCTCAAAGAGTTAAATACGCATATAATGAGGTTAAACATACTATTTAAAAAAAAAGAAAGAAAAATAATAGGTAGCTGAGAGGGACTTTACTATGGTTGAAAAATGACGTTTGGTACAAAATGAAGTAGAGTTCAATAAATAGTTGCATGATAATTATAATGAATGAACACAAATAACAGTTAATTAGCCAAACGTGTGGCTAAAATAAAATAAAATCAAAAATCACGTGCTTGACAAATTAACAAAAATTTCAATTAATATACAGGCACAGCTATCAACATAGCTCATCCCATCAAATTTTAGTAGTAATAATAATAATAATGATATACACTACCGTTGAAACGCTTGAGTTTGTTAAGATTTTAAATGTATTTAAAAGAGTTTTTAAAAGCATTTATTCGATCAAAAATACAGTAAACAGTAATATTTTAAAATAACATTAAATGATAAAATAACTGTTTTCAGTTTTAATATATTTTAAAATGTAATTTATTCCTGTGATGGCAAAGCTGAATTTTCAGCAGTTATTACTCCAGTCTTCAGTGTCACATGATCCTTTAGAAATCATTCTGATATGCTGACTTGCTGCTCAAGAAACATTTATTATTAACAATGTTGAAAACAGTTGCGGAAACATTTTTGTGGAAACTGATGCATTTTTTCAGTATTCTTTGATGAGTAGAAAGTTCAAAAGAACAGCATTTACGTTAAATGGAAATCTTTTGTAACATTATAAATGTCTTTACTGTCACTTCTGATCAATTGAATGCATTCTTACAGAACACAATTATACATTTCTTTAAAATATATATATTACTGACCCTAAACTTTTGAGTGTGATTGTATATTTTTAGTAATTAGGACAATCTGACTCTTAGGTTTTCACTTAAATTGTTCCTAATAAAATACTCCAGAAAATATTGCTTCTACCCACAGTTGCCATCTCTGTACGACTCGATAAAACACACATCTCGCTCTCAAAGACAGATCTCTTTGTGCTGACGCTAACGGCTGTTTTCTGAGGTGTCACTGTGACACATGACTGCATTTCACAGAGCGTCAACAGTTCAGAGAGACTGATACACTCCAGAGAGCCACAGCTGATTTGGGCCCCGGGGCAATGAAGTGTGAGAGAGACTCTCCCAGCAGTCAACAACATCTGACCACCGGTCCTCTTCATTCAGCAATTAAATCCACTGCACACTGTAGCATGAAATTGTCTGATGTGGTTTAACGGATAATGGTCGGTGGAGCACTGATGCTGCTGAATCATTTCAATGTGGCTTGTGCTGATATGGAATTTATAAACACAAGATGTGTTTACTTTCCCCAGAAAGCTGTGTTTCCCATCTCTGGATACGATTGTTATGATTTGGTGGTTTCAAAAGGCAAACATGGTGGTGGTCTCATGGTTTCTGTAATATTTTTACATGGATTCATAAGATTTAATTCCTTGGTGACTTTCTAGTCCATGAACCCTGAGAATGAGGTGAGGAACCCAGGCATAAACAAGAAAGAACGGGTGTTCACATTACAGACAGGTAAAAACAGACTGTGACGAGTGTAGGCAGGTAGAGGCAGGTTTCGTCAGGTGAGGCTGTGGATGGGTAAGAGCGTAAGACCGAGTTAGGCATGTGTGGACATGTATGAACGGCTCAGGACAGGCGAAGAGTGTTGTTTTTAATGCTTACCGAGCTGGCAGGTTCTGCCGGTCCAGAATGGAGGACACACACACTGGAAACCCTGTGGCGTCTCTTGACACGTGGCCCCGCGCCCACAAGGATTGGAGTCACACTGCAACACTGCTGCAGACGAAAAGAACATGTTCTCTGTCTCATCATGTGATTTCACTGCCTTTAAAATCTACGGATCTGTCCATCCATCCATCCATCCATCCAGCAACTGTATCTACGCATCCTCCTGTCTGCCTAACTATCCTGCTGTTATCATCTATCTGTTCATCGCTCCCTCCATCTCTTGTATCTGTTCATCCTCCTATCTATCTATCTATCTATCTATCTATCTATCTATCTATCTATCTATCTATCTATCTATCTATCTATCCTCTTGTCTGTTTGTCCATCCATCCAATCTATCTATCTATCTATCTATCTATCTTGTCTGTTTGTCCATCCATCCATCCATCCATCCATCCATCTATCATCTATCCATCCATCCATCCATCCATCCATCCATCCATCTATCATCTATCTATCTATCTATCTATCTATCTATCTATCTATCTATCTATCTATCTGTCTGTCTGTCTGTCTGTCTGTCTGTCTTCCCATCTTTCTTGCCCTTAATATGTCTTGGATAATTTGCTAGGTTATTGTTTAAAAAAAGTTTAAGACGTTGTGACAGAAGAAACAAGTTTACATCTAAATCACTTCTGAGTCAGTTCCTTTGAATCCCACATTCTAAAACTATTTTGTTTTAAACTGACATGTCTATCATGTATCTGCTCTCAGTGCAACCAAAACTTGCATGACTTTATCCCTGTGTAACAAACATTTTTGAAAATGTCAAAATCTTTTCAATAAACAGTTTTACTTTGTTAAATGCATTTATCAGATTGCAATTTAAACCCAGGTCTCCTTGCATGCTAAACAAAATATTGACCACTATACTAGTGAGTCTAAAAAATATATGGTTCCATCAGCTTAAAAACAGGCAATTTTTGGGGGGTATTAGTGTCAGCCCTAATTCACTTAATGAATTAGGCCATGCCTAAACTGACAAGACCCTGTAAAAACACTGCACTGGCCTTAAAACAGTCAACCAATGTCCTCAAACCTGAGGAGCTCCTACAGCCTGATCTCTGAGACACATTATCACCTCTGCATCCTAGATGTGCGTGTGTATGATTGCTGATTGTTTGTGCTGCAGTTAAGGAGCATTATTTTGGTGTAGATCTGACTAAAATTGGCTGCAGCAGTACAGGAAATAGCAGCTGCATTTGATTGGTGCTGATTGCAGTCTGTGCAGGTGTGTGTGCGTTTATATGCTTAACTACCGGAGGCACAGGAAGGTCCTGTCCAGCCCTGCGCACACACGCAGCTGAAGCCTGTTGGGTCTTCAACACATGTTCCAACATTCTCACATGGAGAGGAGAGACAGGCGTGCTCCACTGTTAAGGGAATCAGAGGAAATGATACACATCTGTGTCTTATATCCTGTGCTATCACCACCTGTATCAAAAGTGCTTACTGTATAGCTCTAATTTGTTTGGAGCAGAAATGACTCACTTCAACACTGAACATAAGAGTGCGTATTTTAAGCTGTTGTTATCTGTATTTGTCATCTTACAGTGATTCTTGGTTTGATGCTTCAAACTCCAGAGCAGTCTTGCTGTAAATGTATCTCTTATCAACACCTCACAGAGCCACATCAGAGATCACGTTAACACAGACTAAAATTATCATTACCGAGGAGATAATTGGTCAGACTCATGCAGGGTGGCACAGCGAAAAATAAGAGCTTATAACATGCCGTGCTTCATCTAGGAGTGACAACATTCTGCAGATTTTATTCTCGCACAGCACATCTTTGAGGTGTGCTTGTAATAGGCTGTCAGGGTTGACAGACTTTATGGTCGTGTTTTATAGAGTCATCTCACCGATGTCACATTTGCGGCCACGGAAACCCTCCTGGCACACACACAGATACTCGTTGGGTTCAGTGTTGGTACATGTACCACTGTTCTTGCATGGCTGATGGTTACCACAATAATTCAGATCTGTATGCAAAAGAGAAAGAGATGTTTTTGCGGTTAGGAAAATCTGACAATTTATCTTGAAATTGATGTGTTTTAAAAAGGCAAATTCAAGTTGACACTAAATCAAAATTAACCTTTCTGAAAAATGCATTCAATTGTATTGGTGCTAATATAAAACATTGTATGCATTAAGAAATAAATAGTGCTGTTGTAAAGGGTTTATCTGAATGGTGTACACTCACATGAGTTGAACACTGTACTGTATAGTTTTCAGTAGTACTAGTAATAGTATTTCGCCATGCTGAAATGATGTAACTGGCAATGTTTCACTAAAATGTATGTCATGAGAATCCTAGTTGTGTAGTGTAGTGTTGTTTTGTGTTACGAAGAGCAAGAATTAGACTATGGAACACACTTATTATTTGCTTTACCAGCAGAGCCACTTTACTCTCAACCAGTACAGTGGTGACTGCAAAATTTAGTATCAAACGTCCATTTTCCATGATCCAATCAATTCCTGACGGATAAAATCAAGTCTCGTCACACATTTTTTCTTGTTAAATATTCTGTTTCACCAAATGTCACATTATGGTAATACACTGGGTTGTTTCATGTTGACTTAAGAAATAAAAAACAAAATTGTGGTAAGGACAAAACCAATGCAAATGTATCATTTAATTTTTCCTTGCAGCAAAAAAGAAAAATAAACAGCCCTCCAACAAACTTTGGCCAAATTAAAGCCACGTGATTCAAAGGACTGTTTTCTTACTCAAATTATATAAAAACGCCTATACACACAAACACATACAAATCAGTATTAAATGATTTGTAAGAAAAATCATTATTAAATTTAAAACTGACATTACTAAGCTATGTGAAAACAGATGGGATCCAATCCTGATCCACATGCCACCACTTCCAGCAATACAATATACCAACATCTGTAATAAGAACACATGTGACCTGCACTTTCACCCCTCTTTCCATCCATATGTCCCTAAAATTTACATGTACCACTGGGAACTGTTGCTTGTAGGAAAAGGATTTTCTAAACAATAATTTCAAGCTCAGACTCATGGGGTTACACAAAATGCCAGTTTGGTCTAGACACAAATTGAATTTGACGTCTCAGACTTTGTTTAAGTGTAGTTTACTTTATAAATCATACAAAATCTAACCAAGAATTCCTACGAGGTCATGCTTGAAGGGATGAGTTAAACTCAAATGGATTGTTTCCTGAAGATTTACCCACAACAAACAAGCATGCTTAACTGGAAGAATTATAACCACAACATACAAATAGACACACAAATTAAAACCAGTGCTATGATGGAAAATGATGCAGCCTGCATACTGGCTCCTGAGATCTGAGTTTAGAGAAAAT